AGTCCGAAGTAAAAATAAATAAGATGTAAAGAAGGGATCTCCTTTGATAGTTTACCTGATATCAGAGGATCGTTTTCCCCTTTGGTGATTTAACTGTCAAGGGAATCCTTTTTGAAAAGGATTTGTGTGAAGTAAGTATGTTTATACTTGTTTCTTCTTGTATTTTTTCGATGTGGGACAGTCTTGTGGCTCATATTACTGAGCTTAGAGTCAGTGAGTATGACCTCCACAAGACCTCGGTATTGAGCCTAAGAGTAAGTTTTGCTGAACCGGACACTTAGGGTCCGTAGCGAATGGATTACTTCCCCGGCGCTGAGCCTGAGGGGAGGTTTTATGAGCCGGACACTTAGGGTCCGAAGCGAATGAATTACTTCTCGATGCTGAGCCTGAGGAAAGGTTTGCTGAGTTAGACACTTAGGGTCCGAAGCAAATGAATTACTCCCCTGCACTAAGCCTGAGGGGAGGTATACTGAGCTGGACACTTAAGGTCCGAAGCGAATGAATTACTCCCAGGCGCTGAGCCTGAGGGGAGGTATGCTGAGCTGGACACTTAGGGTCCGAAGCTAATGGATTACTTCCCCAGCGCTGAGCCTGAGGGGAGGTATGCTGAGTCGAACACTTAGGGTCCGAAGCGAATGGATGACTTCCCCGGCGCTGAGCCTGAGGGGAGGTATGCTAAGCCGAACACTTAGGGTCCGAAGCGAATGGATTACTCCCTAGTATTAAGCCTGAGGGGAAGTTTACTGAGCCGGACACTTAGGGTCCAAACCGAATGGATTACTCCCCGGCGCTGAGCCTGAGGGGAGGTATGCTGAGCCGGACACTTAAGGTCCGAAGCTAATGGATTACTCCCCGGCGCTGAGCCTGAGGGGAGGTTTGCTGAGCCATACATTTAGGGTCCGAAACGAATGGATTACTCCCCGGTGATGAGCCTGAGGGGAGGTTTGCTGAGCCGTTTATGCATATAACTGTTGTGTTTTTTTTTTTTTTTTTTGTTTGTTTGTAGGAAGCCGAAGATTCAAAAATGATAGAAGGCCAAGAAAGCGAGTAACAGTGATTGGGAAGTTTCCTATTCGTTTATTTTGGAGACTTTCTTCCACTGAGACTCCCTTCTTGGTGACTAAATGTAGTGGATTGCGCATATATCAACTGCATCCTTTTTATACTTCAATCCGATGTGGGACATAGATTAAATTTCATCAAATATAGGTCAACAACTCCATATTTTAAAAAAGGTCAGTGTAAGGAATGCCTCTGGTATTGGGCTTGGCCGCCTTCAATACCAGTGGGCCCTCCTTACACTGCAGTCAATTATTTGAATATTTCCATATATAACAGAATGCAAAACTTTCTTACTGATGTGGGATAGAAAGCTTTAAATAAAAAGATTCTTGACATCTTGGTTTAAGTATTGCTTCTTGGCATAAAAATTGCAAAATGCGTCTTGGCATATAAAAATTGCATAATGTGTATGCATAAAAATGCATAAAAATAACATAATTTTAGGGTACTAGTATGGCCCCTATTTTTATGGAAAGAATGAAATGAAGCAGAATTGCTTCCCACATCAAATATGATAGAAGCAACATAAAGAAATAAATTGTCTGACTGTGGGCGTAAGTAGCCTTATTTGTGAAGAAATTCTTGTAAAATTGTTAAACTTATCTAATGGTAGTACCTTTTAAGGTGTATCGCATTCCAAGGACGCGCAATGGGATGCCCGTCAGCTTCGGCTAAACGGTATGCTTCCCTCCCCACTACTTCGGTAACCCTATAGGGTCCAATCCAATTAGGTTCTAGTTTCTTTACATGAGCTGTCTCTTGCTTCAAAACCCAATCACCTATCACAAAGCTCCTGAATTTGACCCGTTTGTTGTAGTTGCTGCGCAACTGTTGCTAATATGAAGCAAGCCTAATTGCTGCAACATTCCTCTTCTCGTCCAGGAGATCAAGGCTATATTCAAGCTGCTGCTCATTGTTTCCGTCAAGTAACAATAATGTTCGAAGGGTTGGAACCGCCGCCTCGGTTGGGATCACAACTTCGGATCCATAAGCCATGACAAATGGACTTTCCCCCGTGGGCCACTGCGGAGTGGTTCGGTACGCCCAAAGCACTTGAGGGAGATTCTCGTACCATTTTGTTTTGAGTTTCTCCAACTTCTTCTTTAAACAACTGAAAATGGTTCGGTTAGTTATTTCGGCCTGTCCATTCCCTTGTGGATGACTGACTGCAACTAGCTTTTGTACAATTCCATGTTCGACGAAGAATTTTCTTGTACTCTTATTGTCGAGGTTCTTACCATTATCCATCATAATGACTTTTGGTACCCCAAACCGGCAAATGATGTTGTTCCAAAGGAAACTTTTTACCTGCTCATGGGTCACATTTGAGTAAGCCTCGGCTTCCACCCATTTTGTGAAATAGTTTATAGCTAGCAGCACGTATTCCTTTTGTTCCACGATTTTGGGTAAAGGGCCCACCATATCAATCCCCCATTGTGCGAATGGCCATGGATTTGCCATTGCGTGCAAATCTTCAGTAGGTTGATGCTTCATTGGACCGTGGCGCTGACATTTATTACATCGCCGGGCGTACTCTTCAGCATTCTTAGCCAAGTATGGCCAGAAATAGCCTTGAGTTAGAACCTTATGTGCGAGGGATCTGCCCCAGAGTGGTTGCCGCAATCTCCGTCATGAATCTGCTTCAATACAACAAGAGCCTCAGTAGGGCTTAAACATTTCAGATAAGGACCTGAAAATAACTTCCGGTACAAGTGGTTATTGATGATGACATATTTAGCCGCGGTGAGTCTGAGCTTCTGCACCTCAGTTTTCTAGTTTGGAAGAGTCCCATGCTTGAGGTAGGCTTCCAATGGATCAATCCAATATGGCTCTCGCAGAATGATTGGAATCACCATTACCTCTTGCTGAGGGTTGATGCTAGGTTCGTCCAAGATGTCAATTGGCACAATACGAGTCAGATCTTCACTTGAGGATGACGTTGCTGTGGCCAATTGATCGGCTTCAGCATTCTCAACACGAGGTACATGGTGGAATTCGACTTGATCGAATCCTCGTGTAACATTCTCCACAGCTTCTTTGTATGCTTTCATCCTTTCCTCTTTGGGATGATACTGATCAGTCACTTGATTTATAACAAGTTGTGAGTCACTAAAAACTTTTAAACACCGTACCTGAAGGCTGCTGGCCAATCGAAGACCAGCAAGTAACGCCTCATATTCGGCCTCATTGTTAGTAGCAGGGAAATTCAAGCAAATAATGCCGAAGCTTCCTCTTGGCATAAACCAAGGCTAGGATAATTTTCTCTGCTTTGCTATACCGTGTCTTCGCATCTGTCATTATCTTACTTGTGTAGAAGACTGGATGTTGATTCTTTCCTTCCTCTCTAATTAACGTTGCATTTCTCGCTATGCTAGAAATTGCTAAGTACATAATAAGAACTTCTCCGGGTTTTAGAGTGGATAGAATTGGAGGTTCGGCCATATAACGTTTCAACTGATTGAGGGCCACCTGCTGCTGAGGTCCCCATATATCCCTATTCTTAGATTTTATGGCATCAAAGAATGGTTTGCACTTATCTGATAATCGGGATATAAATCGGCTGAGAGCTGCGATCTGACCGGTAAGAATTTATACCTCTCTACGATTTTTTGGTTCCTGATTCTGCATGAGGGCCTTAGCCTGAGCCAGGCTTACCTCTATCCCTCTCTTATTCATTATATGGCCGAGGAATTGACCTGATGATACTGCAAAGGAGCACTTGGAAGGATTCAGCTTCATGTTGTATTTTTTCAGAGTATTGAAAACTTCTTGAAGGTGCTTCGGATGGTCTTCCTTTTTCAGACTTTTGACCACCATGTCATCTATGTATGCTTCAACCGTTTTTCCTAACAAATTGTTGAAGATCCTGTTAACAAGGCGTTGATAAATGGTCCCGGCATTCTTCAGCCCGAAGGGCATAACCCTGTAACAATAAGTGCCCTTTTTTGTAATGAAAGCAATTTTTTCTTCATCTTCTAGATTCATAGGAATCTGATTATATCCTGAGTACGCATTGAGGAATGTAAGCCTCTCGTAGCCCGTAGTGGCATCAATCATCTGATCTATCTTCGGTAGAGGAAAGCTATCTTTAGGGCAGACTTTGTTAAGGTTGGTATAGTCTATGCAAACCCTCCACTTCCCATTCTTCTTTTGGACGACCACCACGTTTGATAGCCATTGTGGGTATTGCTCATCTCGAATGAAACCTGCCTGTAACAGCTTGTTCACTTTTTCAGCTATAATGTGATTGCGTTCAGGGGCAAACCTTCGGTGTTTCTGCTTAACCGGTTTGAACTCTGGGTCCACCTTCAGGTTATGGCAGGAGACTAAAGGATCGATCCCTACCATGTCCGAATGATCCCATGCAAAAGCATCTGCATTGCTCCGAATGGCATCGATTAATGCTTCCTTTCTTCAGATGTGGAAGAAGAGCGTAAATAAGTGATCTTCTGGGGGTCGCCGAGGATAACTTCTATGGCTTCGAGGATCTCCTCGGTAGGCTTCACAGCTTCTTCTTCCTCGTCTACCTTAAGATATTTGGGCAGAGGACTCTATAATTGCTATTTGGGTATATTTCTGGGGAGCCACGCCTGGTTGAGGCTGTCTAGACACCTTCTTTGCTTCAGCTTGTGTCAGCATATAACATTCTTTCGTGGCGACTTGATTCCCTCATAGATTAATAACCTCTTTTCCGTCCGGAGATAAATACCACATCACCGATGAAGGGTGGACGGAACTCCTTTCATTCGGTGTATCCAGCCTCTTCCCATGACGAGATTATAGGAAGGGTGGATCTCTGTTAAGACAAAGTTCTCCTTCATAGTCCTCTTCGCCGCAATTACGGATAAGTCTATTACCCCAAGGGGATCTACTCTTGTGCCATCGAACCCCATCAATGGGATGGAGGTAGGTCGAATAGATGATGACGGGATCTCTAGCTACTCAAAGACCGCCTTTGTAATGATGTTGGCACTACTCCCTGGGTCTATCAAAACCCTCTTGATCATGTAATTTGCCATTAAAAGACTGATGACCAATGGATCCTCGTGGGGGAGTTGAACTCTGGATAGGTCGCCATTGCCGAATCCAATACTGATGCTGCCCGAAACGATAGCATTGACCGAGGATATCTTTCTGAGCTTATGGACTGCCCTCAATCTGGATCTGTATACCTCATCGGACTCTTGATCATCTTCAGATCTGCCATGTATTACATGAATGACCTTTACTTGAGTACCTTCTACCTTGCGAGGATAAACCTCGCGGGGCTTTACATACTCCTTCGTCATAAAGTAATCTGCCAACTCACCTCTGGCTATCATATTTTTCACTTGTCGCCTAAGGGATCTACAATCATTGGTTGAATGCCCATAATCTCGATGATAAGCGCAATGCTTGCTTTTGTACCTCTGCTCCAAGGGTTGCGTCTGTTAACCACTAATTAACTCTAGAGGGGGGGTGAATAGAGTCAATGGCCAATTTTTGTAATTTATAAATTTGCAAATTCTATTCTACCATTCAAACAATTATGCAACTTATAAGATATGAAAGTAAACAATTAATAACACAATTATAAAAGAGATAAGAGAAGAGAAATTTCAAACAATGACTCGGCAATTTAGCGAGGTTCGGAAATTCCTACTCCTCGGCTCAAGATCCCTCTTGAGACTTCCCGATGCACTATGGCTTTTCTTTACGGGTGGAGAGCAAACCTTTACATGAAGTAAACACTTGCTTCTCTTCTTTGCTAGAAGAACACCCTTTTTCTAAGCTTCGTTGGGTTACACCAACCCTTACAAGTTTGTAGAAGAAATTGTAGTTGTGATACAAGAATGAATCTCTCTCAAGATAGATGTACAAATGTAAGCTCACAAGGCTAGAGTAATAGATGAATTAAAATGAAGCTCAAGTTGGTATGGTTGAGTGAAATGAATGCTTGAGTAAATGCTTTGAATGATATTTTTGAATTCTCTCAACCACGCCCTAGCCTTCTTCAATGCTTGTCTTTTTATAGAGTTGAAGAAAAATGAAATGCATTAATTGCTTAAATATATCTGTTGTGGTAGGTTGAAGAGCATTAAATGTTTGTGTGACCGTTAGAGCAATAAATATATCAACTTCAGATCTGCTTCAGTTTCTAAAAATTAGAAGAAGTGAGATTGGATCTCATCTAACCGGTTAGAGGATTTTTCCTAACCGGTTACATCTGCTGAGGGACTTCTTTAGTTAAGGCCAACTATTCGAACATAAGAGGCTTCCTAACCGGTTACATCAAAGGTCAAGATAAGTATCTTTCTGTTAACGCATATCTAACCGGTTATATAACTTCTTCTAACCGGTTCAATCAATGGCCAAGAAAAGTTTCATTCTGTTAAAGCACGTCTAACCGGTTATATAGCTTCTTCTAACCGGTTACATCATTGGCTAAAAAAAATCGTATTCTGTTTAAGTACATGTAAACGGTTACTTGAGTTCTCCTAACCGGTTACGAGAAGGTAGATACAATGTTTTTGTATGTTGATCTAAACGGTTAGAACAATTCTTCTAACCGGTTACAAGGTGCGGATAAGAAGATCAAGCTTTCTGTTTTGTTCATCTAAACGGTTAGATGAAAATTCCTAACCAGTTATGAGATACCTTCGATCATGTGTTGCTTTTTGTTTTAGCTCATCTAAACGGTTAGATGAAACTTCCTAACCGGTTATGAGATTCTAAGGAGATTTTTGATTTTTCTTTTTAAGTGAAGAATCTTGAAAGATGTGAATGAAAATTCATGAGCCAATAGATTTGAGCTTCAAATTAATTCATAGATTACTTTGACAGAAAATCCTAATCAATCACCGATCTATCTACCCATTGTCTTCAAGTCAATCATGATTGTATTATTCTCGGAGTATATTTGATTTCTCTTGAAATGATTTCTTTGTCTCGGTTGCTTGGCATATTTTATTTCCTTTGCCCTACAAGCTCAATGCAAACATTAGACCGAGAACACTTCATAATGTTTTGTAATCATCAAAATTATTAGACGATCTTTGAATGACCTTTAGGGTCAACAATCTCCCCATTTTTGATGATGGCAAAACATTGATGTGTTCATACATAAGGAAAATAATTATATAATATCCATGTTTGAATTTTCTCCCCCTATCTTAGTGCATAGGATGAATAAGGCTTAAAAATGCATTAAGTATATACTCCTGCCAAAATAAGTCATCATGTTAATTTCATATTCAAAAGTAAGTGATAGTGACAGCACATTAAAACACATCAAGCTATTCTCCCCCTTTGACATCTCAAAAAGGTATGGGAGGGGGGATTTCAGATAAGACAAGATAAAAATCAAAATAAAACTGTCTAGGAATAATCACATCAATCATTAATTTCAACCACGGGGTCACGGGGTTTGGGACGAGGAGGTGGAGGAGGAGGTGGGACATCAGATCGACAACGCTGTTCCGGAAACACAAATCCCGAAGGAATGATTTGAATACGCTTGGCCACCAATTTTAGAAAATCCTTCATAATTTCGGCATTTGCATTGTGGACGGCCAGCCGGCGATCAATGAGATCATAGGTCTCCATAGTGTACTGAATGACAATATTGAGATCAGATGACTGATCATGGGAGTGAGAGATGAGGGACTTCCCAACACTGTCAGCGCGAGTCTCAAGAGCGGTGACTCTGTCACCTAGGGCTTGGATAGTCGCCATAGTCTCGGCATGCTGATCACTAAGTAGCTGAGTCACCTCTGGAGGAATGGGAGGCTGAGGATGTGTCACTGTGGGACCCTCTGCAAATAAGTTATCAAAATTGTCAAAGTCAAATTCCTGGTGCTGAAAAGGATCGGCCTCAGGAGCAGGAGCATCAGGTGCGGGAGTTGTAGGAAGTCTTTCCCAGGCTCCATTGACTTTGCGACACTGCATATTTTAAAAAAATTTTAAGGACAGCCTGTCTTCACAAGTGGGGTCCTTTTTGTGGAATTCTGAGTTAAGAGGAACGTTAAAGTGTTTAAATACTGGAGTCAGAAACATGCCATAGGGCAATGTAGCAAGTTTGCCAGTTTTCCAGGGAGTGGAGGCAGTGTCATCCGGGTCTGCAATGAACTGAAGGAGGTGCTGAAAAATAATATAGCCTAGATTGAGCTGAATGCCTAAAGTAATGCACCAAATCAAGAACAGATCCAAATGAGATACATGAGTTCTACCGCTGCCTCGAAGGATGACACAATAGAACAGAGCATTATGAATTAGACGGGCTTCAATGGTGAAATCCGTAGAGGTGAAAAGAAAAATTTTTGTCCAGAAGAAATTCTGAGTGAGATGCATCACTGCCATCATCTCACTATACCAATCAACCTCAATCTCAGATCTGTGAGCATAAATCTTCTTTCCCTTGTTTTCAATGTCCAAGATGGAATTTAGGGTTTTATAGTTAAACTTGATGTTCGCACCTTTGACCTGTGAGTGAAGGTAGCCGTCTTTGAGTTTGAGATAGGTGTAGAAGACTTGAATGAGAGTGGGATAGTAGGGTTCCTCGATTCCTATGAATGAATCCCACCCCAAGGCCTGAAATTTGTCGAAGAACGATAGATTTTCTCGTATGCAGAAATCGGCATAAAAAATTCGACCTTGAGACACCCCCCTGTTGCGAAACCGAGTGTTGAATAGCAATTCCATCTCTCGTGAGAGATAGGAAGCAGCAAGGATTGGATTTTCATCTTGAGAGGTTTCTTCTTGATTTTCAGTTCGTTTGCGCTTTCGTATTTGAGCAGTAGAGGAGGATGGATTGTACTCTTCTCCTGAGGAAGGATCTTCGACGAAGAAGGAAGAAGATGATTCAGGATCGCCTCTGCCGGAGATTTATGGATAAGCATATTCATTTTAGATTCCTTGACATGACTAGTGCCAACATATGTAATTTCAAGTTTATCCCAAATCTCTTTGGCCGTCTCACAATCTGAAATTCTATTGAATTCGTATTTACTAAGAGCACAATAAAGATTTGTAATAGTCATGACATTACATTGTACAAGCCTACGCTCATTTGGAGTCCACTCATAATCTGTTTTGGGGATTATTTTCCCTTCAACAGTTTTGGTCCGAATATGATCAACTAGTTCAGTGGCTTTCCAAATATCAATATCTAAGCCTCTTAGAAATGCTCTCATTTTGATTTTCCAATAATTATAATCATTACCATCAAACCAAGGAGGTCTATTGTTAGATTGACCTTCTTGATGAAAATTGGCCATGATCGTTCTCTAAGATGGTTAGATCTTTAACTAGAGATTAGGCTCTGATACCAATTGTTAACCACTAATTGACTCTAGAGGGGGGGTGAATAGAGTCAATGGCCAATTTTTGTAATTTATAAATTTGTAAATTCTATTCTACCATTCAAACAATTATGCAACATATAAGATATGAAAGTAAACAATTAATAACACAATTGTAAAAGAGATAAGAGAAGAGAAATTTCAAACAATGGCTCGGCAATTTTAGCGAGATTCGGAAACTCCTACTCCTCGGCTCAAGATCCCTCTTGAGACTTCCCGATGCACTATGGCTTCTCCTTACGGGTAGAGAGCAAACCTTTACATGAAGCAAACTCTTGCTTCTCTTCTTTGCTAGAAGAACACCCTTCTTCTAAGCTTCGTTGGGTTACACCAACCCTTACAAGTTTGTAGAAGAAATTGTAGTTGTGATACAAGAATGAATCTCTCTCAAGATAGATGTACAAATGTAAGCTCACAAGGCTAGAGTAATAGATGAATTAAAATGAAGCTCAAGTTGGTATGGTTGAGTGAAATGAATGCTTGAGTAAATGCTTTGAATGATATTTTTGAATTCTCTCAACCGCGCCCTAGCCTTCTTCAATGCTTGTCTTTTTATAGAGTTGAAGAAAAATGAAATGCATTAATTGCTCAAATATATCTGTTGTGGTAGGTTGAAGAGCATTAAATGTTTGTGTGACCGTTAGAGCAATAAATATATCAACTTCAGATCTGCTTCAGTTTCTAAAAATTAGAAGAAGTGAGATTGGATCTCATCTAACCGGTTAGAGGATTTTTCCTAACCGGTTACATCTACTGAGGGACTTCTTTAGTTAAGGCCAACTATTCGAACATAAGAGAATTCCTAACCGGTTACATCAAAGGTCAAGATAAGTATCGTTCTGTTAACTAATATCTAACCGGTTATATAACTTCTTCTAACCGGTTCAATCAATAGCCAAGAAAAGTTTCATTCTGTTAAAGCACGTCTAACCGGTTATATAGCTTCTTCTAACCGGTTACATCATTGGCTAAAAAAAATCGTA